GATCAGACTTTTGTTCTCTATGTGTATAAAAAAGGAGATCATTCATTAGAACAATTAGAATGGTTTCAGTTCCTTACCCTGGCACAATCCAGATTATTCCAGCTCTAGAATATTGGATTCCCTTTAATGAACTAATAAGGGCAATGGTGACAGCCTAACACTTTGAGATATTAAACTGCTTCTCAGAAACACCTGAGCAGTTGTAAGTTCCAGAAAATCCACAAGAATTATGCAAAATCTACAAGGTCTTCGATGAAATACAGTTCAACCTATCTCTACTTTCTCATCCTGGCTGCAGATCTGCACTGGATTTGATTTGGAACACATTCAGGTAAATGTCCATCTGCATTTACAGTTGATACACTGAATAGTTTCAGTTGTAAAATATGGGGTAAATGAGAAATTTCCTAAAAAACTGACAAATGTGGTTTGAATCCAGCTGTATTCCACATGCTACACAAAGTGTTGATGATGCCAGTTATAACTGAGACAATACCTCCATATGACACAAGGGAGACGTTATTTGAAAGCAGTCTTAAACAAAAACCCTAAAAAACTGTGATTATAATAGCCTAGCTTGCTTTTTACAAACACAGGTATCTTACTCTCCTTGTCTTAAACTCAAAGCCATACTTTAAATTCCGTCACAGATTCAGTGATATTCTATGATACTCTATGGAGATATGATTTGCACCAGCAATTTCTAACCCCCATGAACATTAACATGTTCTATAAATCAAGTCATCTATTCTCTATGTGATATATCTGGATATATCTGTATCTACACCATTTACATCAGTTCAGGTGTGGGTAACTTTTCTCTGCCGAAGTCCAGATTTCAGAATTATATGTGTCAATTAAATTGGAAAATTTATTATTTCTGCAGATACCTTTGTATCCATCACTTGTATACGTATACAGATTTTTGTCCTACCTAAGTCAGACACATTTGAAAAAAACTGATATCTATCCGATACTTGATTTTAAACCAAGTCCCTACCCAGAACTTATTACTGTCTGACAGATAAATTTGACCTAGCAGGGAAAACTATCTGTTAAAAATGAAAAGACAACTCTGAAAGCTTTTCTAGTTTGTGGCTGCAATCAATAAAAGCTCTAGTTTTCTAGTTCAAAAGTTTTAGCTTAATGGTGCAGATGTTCATAAATTACATCAGTGGTGTTTTTTTTCATGTCCAACCTAAGACATCAAAAAAGCACTTTTTCAGAGATTCTGCTTTCTGGAAATAAAACCTGTCTGCATTAATTCAGCTTTGTACCACAACTCTAGTATCCAAAAATGATACACTTTTGTTTCGTGATCTTTTCTATATGGGATTTTGATAGCTTTTGTGTAAATTATCACCATCTACGTGAAATGATACAACTGAAATCAATGACTACTTTTGTGTTACACTGTTAGTCAACACAAGTTAGTTAACGGTAAGTAGGAGCAAAGATTTTGAATTTGGCTTTAATGATGAATTGACTCTGGGAGATACTGACATTGGCAGCCCATTAAAACCATTCATCTTCAGAGATAAACTCAGAGTTTCTAATATGAACTTATTCAGCTCTATAAAGGCTTCGATAACCCAATACATGATTCCCTACAAGCCTTCCTGCAAGATCATGTGTAGAGAATTTGAGACATTTTGACAACAACTCAATAACCATTTGAGAAAATCCTATTGTTAGTAACGACTGCCTGATAAGTCAAGCAATTAGGAACGAATCTATTGGACAGAAGAGAGACATGCATCAGGGGGAATTCATATGATGTCTAAGAACTGCCAAACTTCAGAGAAAAACTATTAACATGAGTTAGTGGTTTAAACTATTGTCTAGACCTGTCACAATAAAATTATCATTATTGTGATAATGTTATCCAGTCTGTCAAAGTCTGGACAAGATCATGCCATTCATATTTTGAAGTTCTGGCAAAAAAAATTAATTATCATCCTGGTGATCCATATGACCTCTGCAAGACAGCAATTACAGATGGTGAAAAATGACTTTTGTTTCATCTCTAACATCAGTACCTTTTGAAAAAAACGTTATATGCACTTTGAAATTAATATCGCAATTGTTTTGCAGTTTAATCTGCATTACAGCAAGGTATTGCAGGCTGAACCTTACACAGTTTGTAATCATCCAGACTTCTACAAACACGGTGGTTACTGGTTTAAGAGAGCAAATGTGAAGGCTTCTGAGCCTTCTTTTTTGTGACTTTCCACAACTGCAGCTTGAAGAAAAAACAAAGACAAAAAGAAAGAAGCTCATAAAATATGTTTTGAAATTTCTGGAGAAGCACACTTCTTTGCTAACTCTAAGCAACATCATTTACAAAATATTGAGACAAAGAAATGTTGGAGCACATGATACTTTGCCACCTAATAAAATCTGTAATTTCTGAATTCCTGTACATAATGCCATGACATCTGTTTACACAGATGCAAGATCATCATTTATCTGCAAATGCAACAAAGTTTTCCTTGTGTGCCACGCCGATAATAGCCAATTGACCTAGTCAATATATTCTGCTCAGCGGAATCTAATATACCTTCTTAGGACAGTTTATCAGTTTGGGCCTCGTGCCACACTAATGCAATTTCATGAAGACTTGCCAAGTCAGCTGGGACCCAACATGGACACTGAGGTGAGTTCTTTATTTAGGATTTTACCTGACCAGGGTTTCCAGGTCCTGATTCTTGGCAGAGCTGGGAGTGTGATGACGGGGGTGAAAGCAAAATAATGATGATCCTGCCAGTATTAGTTAAGGTTAAGGAACATGTGGACCATGCCACACCCGAAGGACACAATTTTCTCCTCCCTCAGTGTAAGTATTAGTGTCAGCTCCCTCCTGCCCAGATTTTTAATTCACTCTCTCTGCACAATGACCATATTCCAGAAAGGAGCAATGCCCGGCCTAAATCTGGATCCAGACAGTAAACCTAGTCACATACGTATAAATCAGTACAGGCTAGGAAGAGCAAACCCGTATCTACTCAAAAATATATTCTGCATACACAATATAAGGTAGCCAGGAAGAAAATATGTCCAGAACCTAAATTACACTGAGTTGCGGTAAGGAACCTTTACCTGCTTAAAATTCAGCCTTGACCTGACTTCCCCTGGAGTTTTGTACTCAAATCCTTTCTTGCTGAGGATGGTCAGTTTATTTTCAAAACGCAGCTGATGGAGATAGCAGTTATCCTTTCAACGTAACAAACCAGTGGCCAGACCTGTTATCCAGGCTGTCAAAGTCTGGACAAGATCATGCCATTCATATTTTGAAGTTCTGGCAAAAAAAATTAATTATCATCCTGGTGATCCATATGACCTCTGCAAGACAGCAATTACAGATGGTGAAAAATGACTTTTGTTTCATCTCTAACATCAGTACCTTTTGAAAAAACGTTATATGCACTTTGAAATTAATATCGCAATTGTTTTGCAGTTTAATCTGCATTACAGCAAGGTATTGCAGGCTGAACATTTACATTACAGCAAGGTATTGCAGGCTGAACATTACAAACACAGTTTGTAATCATTCAGATTTCTACAAACACGGTGGTTACTGGTTTAAGACAGCAAAGCAATCTGCTGCACATTCCTGCACTGTTTGTGCCATCTGCTGGTCAAGAGGATCTGAAGGGTGCTGCATTTCAGCCTGCAGGAATCGCTCCTTGGAAGAGGATGTAGAGCCAAAAAGCAGGAGAACACTAAAAGAAAATGTCATGCTGCCTGTCACTGGAACCGAGGAGCAGCTGGGAGCTCCAGCTGGCCAGCTGGAAAGCGCTACCTAATAGGGCTCCAAGAAACCGTGCCCTGGAAAGGACAGGCTCCCAGATTTGGCCCACTCGCTAGCACTGCCAGGCTGGTGAAAATCCAGGGGGGTTCCACGTTCTTTGCACCCATCAGGAGGAACAGACAGCGGACCAGGTGGCTACCGAAGGTGCAGGACTTCACCGAAGGCACAGCTGTGTCCTTCATCCCCGGGGTCGGTGCTGGGGATTCTGCAAGCCTGAAAGTTTCACCAGCTTTAGTGCTGGAAGTCGGCGTGAAAGTTTGCACCGCTGCGCGCTGCGTTCCCTGGGGATGCCGGTGGAGCTAAGAGCCGGTGGGGATCCCCGCTGTCAGCTACTGCCTGCGGTTTGGCAGCACTGGGGGGCACACAGCGGTGCCTCCGGCCCCGCCGGCCTGCACACGAGAGGACACGCAGGGTGTCCCCAAAACCAGCCTCTCCCGGAGGTGCTAAATTTGGAACCGCACAGGTGGATGCCCGGGAGCGCTTCTTTCTCCCGTTGGATTAAACGCCTGTAACCACGAGCGGCGGCAACACCCCGGGACAAAGGGGTCCTGTGGGGCAGGGGGTGTCTGGGGCAGAGATGGCGACTCCCTTCCCGGGGGTAAAACGGGGCGGTTTCCGCCGTCGCTCGCTGAGCTACAGGGGACG